ACTATATCTTATCATACCAACCAAGAGATTCATAACTGTCCAATATGAACAATTCATCACGAGTTCAGCACATACCAATTCGCCTTCTTTGCTGTCCTGGAGGACCATGCGGCAGGAGGGCATCAAGCTGAGTCAACAAGGCATTAGAAACACTGCAATCAAAGTTAGATGACTGAATTAGTTGATCTGGAAGAACGTAAGAACCAAGGAAATGACAGCACTACAAGAACTGAAGAATCGTGTGAGTAATTATGCTAGGGCCATTACTTTATTTCATTCTCCGATAGATCCCTGGCCTGCATATATAGCAATTTTAGCTTCTGCAACGAGTTGTCACCAGGCTTTTCAACCACCTCTGGAGCTGCATCATGCAAATAATGAGAGAGTTAATAAATCCTGTTGAAAGGAACATATGAGGACTGCCAAATGAAGAATTTCAGTAAGAACATACAAATTTGAATTAATCCAAACTACATTTTGATTGATATCTACAGACAAGGGTAGTTTACTCATGCATAACCAAAAGGCAAGTAAATATCTAACACCAAAGGGTTCAGGAGATCACTGAACAAAATGTGCAACGATAGTTGCTGTTCTCCAGGAAACAACATCCTGGTGATATAGAAGCGAACTTTAGTACAAGATCAAGCGCAGTGCCGGAAATTCCTCTGTGCTTCCAAGCTAATAAGTCCCCGATTATGTAAGAGTTGCCCAAAACATATCTACAAGTTAGATCCCAGTATCTCTAGTATCTATTTCAGTTGGCTTTACAAATTAATGTTGTACATGACTTAAATAGTTAGGGCTTTTGATCTCATCGAGGGCACTTAACAAACGGTGGAAACCACATCTTATGGGTTAAAACAGTTTATCATCAAGTTGAGATGTGAAATGGACCAAGTAAAGGATGGAGCTACATTGCATGCTTATAGAAGAAAATTTAAAGTAACAGGATAGACATGCAACCATACAAGACCCATAGCACAAAGTATATATCAGTAAGGTAGGCTACTAACCACGATTAGCAGAGTTAATCGCATTAAATGTAGAAATGCAAGCACAGTTGAGCAAGGAAGCATATCAGAATGCATAAATAGAATCCCAATCACTGCTTTCCGCCCTAACCAATCCATACGCGGAAGCCCCCAAACCTAACCAAGTTTGAGAACATAACTGATGCCAAACAAATCACACTTGGATCAGTTCTAAAAAGCAGATTCCACCTCGAAGAAACTAACCAACAACACATCCTCCGATACCATGAGCTTAGTAATTTGTTCATAGAGTAACCTGCTTAAGCTCTTATCCTTCTCAAGGATCACATTAAATATGTAGTTGTTAAACAAATTCTTATTAACATATTAGGCCATCTCCTTAATAATCATACAGTCGACATTACATTCTTGGTCTAGCTGGATAACTATCCTACATTCAAACTAAACCCAAGCAAGCCAAACCTACTATGAACTCTCAGAACTGGGAAAAGCCAGTAGTCTAAAGACACAAACTTTCAGTTAATACTCCACAAACCCATGACAACCCAGTACTCGAAATTAGAGTTCTCGTAGACATAACGGAAACCCAACATTCAAACTAAACCCATTCCGCTCATTGAGGAGGGGGGAAATTAACGATACAGATGATGGGGTTTTGGAGGGTTTGCTTACTTGCTTGAAGCTTCTTGTGCATCTTGTTGATCTCCATAAGAACATCCTCTTGATCTTTCCGCAGCCGATCGAGTTCCCTCGAATTGTCCATGATTCCGGAGATTTCCGCTGACGACATTTCCCGGCGGGGGTGCAGTTCGGGGAAGCGGAAAAGGAATGATTTTGGTTGGGAAGAGGAGATGATTGCACGATTGACTGTTGATTGACGATGCTGGCGAACTGAAAATTTGATTAACTGCCGCTTTGCTTTGCTTGGACGATTTTCGAGCAAATGGTTCTCAGTCCGTGGTCTTCGATCAACTCCCTTCTGACATTTTTCTTTTCAATTATTAAGTACAAGTTTCTATATTATTGTCGGAGTAATAAATAGTAGTTCCAGGAAAAAAGAAAGAGGAATTTCAATTTTTGCGCTCCTTTCCACTTACAGTATTAATTTTTCCCACCTCTTAATTATTATTGTTGTATTCCATTATTGCTCAAAATCATTACATTTATTAATGATTTCCTTAGATTCAACGGGAAAAAATATTACCTAAGATAAATTCGGTAAAATTTTATTATAATTATTATTCATAGAGAATAGAGAATATGATAGCTCATTTGATAGTTAGAAATATTTTTATAAACATATTTTTGGATTTTAATTTTACTATATCAAAAGAAAGAGTATACTTTATAAACTTTGTAAGTTTTATGAAAAAGTGAGTTATTTAAATTGAAAAGTAGAATTTAATTAGTCAAAAATATCATAGTAAATTATTGTTCGAAATCAATCTTGAGGATTTGGGATAAATTAATAATTTGTTATTTCAATGAATCTATTGTGTGATTTCAAATATTAAGTTTTCATTGAATGCACTTCAAATTCTTTTCTTAAGGAAATATTAATTTCAAATGTCCTGTATCGAAAATATAATGTAATTCCCATAAAAAAAAATATAATGTAAAGAATCATCAATATATTAGTTAGCATGACCCTTGTGTCATTTTATCTATCCTTATTTTATTACATCATTGCCAGTTAAATGTTTAGTTAGTGAATGTTTTGTTTAAGTAGTATTCTTAGCAATGGGATCATTCTTCATTTCTTTGTTGTGGAAAATATTTTGGTATTTGTTAATAATTGTAAGTATAAATATTCAATAGTGAGCTTCATTTATGTTAAGAGTTAAGACTATGTGATTGTACAAGTTCTCCTCGGGAGTTACGGCCTTGACCTTATATTAGTTGTAAATTAAACAACGAGTCAACCTATGATCGATTTTGATCATAATAATAAGTTGCATTAGAAAAATAATTCAAGCATTATGCGATGATTTCTCACACATTTGCACTTTAAGTTATCGAAAAGTGAAACTGGTATCAAATTCTTAGATCATGATCCATCTACTGTGATTGTTTGGTGCAACACTCATTATGAGAATCAAACAAAGTGGTGGATAATCAATTAAGTACAAAAAATAAAGTGAACTTTATTATTTTTTAAGAAGTCTAACATAAAATGGTTATCTTTTATTTACATAACAGACTAATAAACAATGATTGTCCGATGATCAGTTGAACAAGAGGATTTGTCTCGAACAGTGATCGATGTAAAATATCATGCTAGTTGAGCCTTAGAATGCGGGTTGGATCCAGTCCTTAAGCCTCATTGCTTAAGGAGGTTCTTAAACTATTTTTATTGGTTGATATTAGATTAGGCAGTTAATTAAAGTTAGTAGTTAATATTTAGTTTGAATAAATAAGATATTATAAAAATATAATTAATATTACTCATTAATGATTATCTTTCTCTCTCTCCCTTGATTTTCTCCATAACCCTCTCTCTCCACTACAATGAAAAGGAAATTCGGAATTAATTTAATTAAATATTATTATTTAATATTTAATAAATTCGAACTTAATACTTTTTTACTTTTTAAAATTAAAATTAAAAATTAAAAATATATGCTCTCTCTCTTCGTGCCAACTTGCAATCCATTATTAACATTTTGCAATGACATTATCAGCATTTAGGAAATGAATCGTTATTATTATACCTCATCACTATTAACGATTTCAACATACTTATCAATTCTTTACAGTTACATTATTAACAATTTTGAATCAATTGTTACCGTTTTATGGTTTCGTCATCAACGCCTATGAATGAATCATTAAAATTATGTAACATGGTCATTAACAGTTTGAATAACAATATCATTGCTTTACAACATCTTTAGTACTAATGATTCACATTTTTACATCATGTTTATAACTATCTAGTCATGGGCTCTTTCAATGATTTCTAATAACATTATTAGCGTTTTATGATCAATTAATATTGTTTTACATTATCAATCTCAATGATCCTAAAGCACAATATTGATTTTCGACGTCTTGGGTACTTGTGACATAGTGCACCTGTATGATTCAGTCAAACAAACATTGTCAAGAAAAATATTAGCTCAAGCAAACCAATATTCACGCCTCAACACCAAACTTTTAATAACAATACAATAAAGCATTGATAATGAAAAGTATTTCGTTGATAATAGCACTTCAACTAATTATAAATCATTGCGAACCAAATTGATAATACGATGTAATAGTAAATGAACTTCAGGTACCAACAAATTGAAAACACAATTTCACTTTTGCTAATGTTACAAACAAAACAAAACATAAAAAGTTAATAATGTCACATAACATTATTAAAAAAACCTGTCGAACAACATTAATAATAACAAAAACGAATACCTAAAAACGAAAAATCCTAAACCCATGCAACGAAAAGCCCTAATGATTATTCAAATTACAAATATTGATAATGTCATTACAAAATATTGATACTAAATTGCAAGTTGCCAAGATGTGAGAGAGGCCATATATTTTAAATTTTAAATTTTAAATTTCCATTTTAAAAATGGAAAATTATTAAATTCGGATTTCATTAAATATTAAATAAAAGTATTTTTTTTATTATAATGTAGAGAGAGGGTTATGGAGAAAATCATGGGAGGAGAGAGAAAGAGAATCATTAATTATTTTTGCATAACCCCATTTACTCTTAACTACCTATTAACTACTAACCCCCTTTAACTACCTAATCCACTATCAACCAATAGGAAGGTTTTAAGATTCTCCTTAAAGAATGAGACTTAAGGACTTGAACTCAAGCCCTTAGAATGCCTCTCAACTTGTTTAGAAAGTGAGGGTGCACATAACTATTGCTCCAACTAGATTCATCTCAAGGCAACGATTACAATATTTACTAATGATCCACAAAATGAACTAACATTATATTTATTGCCATAATTTTTACCGATTAAGAGTCGTAAACTGAATTTTTTTGATATGTGAGAGTTAGGCATCTATATTCTATACTGAGAGCAAAGAGTATAGAGCAAAATCAGGTGATTACTGATTAAATGTCGAGCTAGGGAAAGACTTTACATAACCTTATAAGATGTTGGATATTGACATATTCTTGGGGCATGCTCTTATGTTTGATGATAATGATTTCATTGATTTGACCATTCACCAACGAAACTAACCACCGAGCGAACAGACGTCAGTATTCCGGTGAGGCCGCTCCCGCTCCCACGTTGATCGCCTCCTCCGGCGATACAGCAACCCAATAACAGTCCAGCAGACCCAGGCCACGTCATCCTTTTCCCCGGGCGTACCCAACTGAGCTTCACACCCAAGTATTCCCTTCGCCGGGAAATCACCGGAAAGCTCCCCCGGGGACGCTTGTCAATCAAGCGAGTCGTACAGCAAAGTTAAAAAAATATTAATAGAAAGTTTATAGAAAAAAATTATTAATCTTTTCAAATTCCGTGTTTGGCTTTAGACGAAAATGGAAAATGCGACAAAATGGCGATGCCAATACTACTTCTTCTCTTCTCCTTTCCCTTTTTAGCAGGCGAGAGATCGACGTCTCGAAGCGTCAGCAAAAAAGTTTTCCGGCTTCGTATTACACCTGGTGGCTTGAAGAACAGTACGACCGCCGGCGGGTGAGCTGATTTTCTAGTACCCTGTTTGGTTACCTCGATAAGAGAAGCCCTGATTCAATCAATCGTCCTCTCTCGAGGAAAGAAGGAAAGCTCCAAAGTAATTTACAGGTGCCGGCGACAACCATTTGTTCGTTTGTTTCTCATTGTATTTCGGGTTGGTAAAACTTTTCTTTTTGCTGGTTTGGGTTGGTGGAATGTTTGGACAAGGGTTCATCCAAACTGCATTTCCCCGGTATTGGAGCGTAATGAAATCAGCGTTTCTTGAATATTTCGGAATTGGTTAACCATTTTGTTGCTGCTTTCTGCTTCTGGGTGGAAAGCGATCAGTGTAATTTTATTTCAGTGAAACAGAGTCTCTGTCTTTTTTGCCTTGGATTCGGCATCTCTGGGTACTGAATCGGAATTTTTGTCTGTATATTGTTGGTTTAGATGTAGAATTGAACTGAGTTGATGGTTAAATGGGTTTCTTGGAGATACCATGCAATGAAATGAAGCGACTTTTTTTCTTTTTCTTTTCATGGGGAGCTTCTGCTTGTTTCAAACTTGGTCATCTGAAGCACATCTATGAATTGTATGTCTTTACAGATTGAATTGCAGTTGATGACATTGTGCAGCAGCTGGAACCCACTAGTCTGTGAAATTGGTATCGCTGCTCTTTGAATCAGAAGTGCAGTACTTATAATGCCAGTGCCCATTAGAAGGTGACTTAAGCCGCTTCTTTCATTTGGTTATGGCGGATATGGATCAAACTGTGAAGAATTACTTATCGTATGATGTGCTTTATTTCTCTTGTTCTCTGCGGTGGAAGTATCAGAAAACCAAGTGAAATGACGAAGCTTTTCATGACAACTCTCCTTGGGATCCTCTTTGGCTTCTTCTTGGGAATATCCTTGCCAACACTGTCGCTCTCAAAGGTTCATTGCCAATATTGTTTGGACGCTATTTTTTCTGATTAAGAGAACTTAAGACTTATTTTTTGTTGGGTTTGGGATTTGCTAGTTGAATCTTCCAACCGGTTTGCTTCCTTCCTTTGACATCACTTACATGGAGGACAAGTTCTCTGGTCTTTCGCCACAAGCACTGCTCAATGCTTTGTCCTCTCTAAGGGGACATAGTATACATTCCTTGTTATTTCACCGATACAATGGAACCAAGGTATGTAGCTCTACCAGTAGTGTCTGGTAATTTATCTCGAGGGTAAGCTGATGAAGTCAAGCTGTATGTTTTCTTAACATTAATGCAGATATGGCTCAATGAAAATCCTAGAGGTGCTGAGAGGTTACCTCCTGGTATAGTAACTTCTGAGTCGGACTTGTTCCTTCGACGATTGTGGGGTATGCCTGATGAGGTCTGCTATTTATGAGTTCAACCGAATAAGCATAATATCTAAGAAAATGTATTTAGCTGTTACAAAATGTGATGATGGCTTACCTAGGCTTGTGGTCCGCGTCAAGTTCTTTCATGTCTTCCATATGTTCTCCTTTGTTGATGGTGGTCACATTCGCAGGACTTGGCAGTCCAGCCGAAGTATCTTGTGACATTCACAGTTGGGTATGAACAGAGAAAGAATGTCGATGCAGCAGTTCAAAAGGTCAGTCTAATCTCAAGCATACTTTTTACTTCCACTTGGGTTGTCATTCTGATCACCAACTTGTATATATGTAAGCAGTTCTCTGAGAACTTCACCATCCTATTGTTTCACTATGACGGCCGGGTAACTGAGTGGGATGAATTTGAATGGTCAAAGCGAGCAATCCACGTGAGTGCTCCCAAGCAAACGAAGTGGTAAGCTAGCTCTTCTCTCATCTCATCTCACCTCATCTTCCTAATTTTGACTTTGTGGATCAAGCTTAATTTTTTCTTACTACTTACTAGTTAATTAAACTCTATCTTCTGAAGGTGGTTTGCCAAACGGTTTCTTCACCCGGATATTGTTGCAGCATATGATTATATTTTCATGTGGGATGAGGATCTTGGGGTGGACCATTTTGATGGAGAGGAGTGAGTGTGACACATTTAAGAATCCTTTTTCTGATTGAGGATACGTAAGACTTGAATCTCAAGGGTAAGATTGTCCATATTTCAGGTACATTAGACTGGTGAGGAAATATGGGTTGGATATATCTCAGCCTGCTTTAGATCCTGAAAAAGGGACCACCTGGGCAATGACGAAGAAAAGATATGACACTGAAGTTCACAAGTAAGGAGGGCCCAAAAAAAAAGAAAGGAATATGCTTTCTCTTATGTGGTCAAATTTAAAGCTTCTTTAGTTCTCATGTCAACCTTCTTGCATCCCTGTAGGCATACTGAAGAGAAACCCGGTTGGTGCAAGGAACCATATTGGCCGCCATGTGCAGCGTAAGTAAAGCAAACAACATTCACCCTGGTTGATGTGTTATCCTGGGATTGCATTAATTCGGACTGCTTAATGCACAGATTTGTGGAGATTATGGCTCCTGTATTTTCCCGAGAGGCATGGCGATGTGTTTGGCATATGATTCAGGTGCGTCATTACGCCCATTCTTACAGCTGCTTATCATATGATATATGAGTTGGATCTTTTCTAAAGTTCTATACCAAATCTTTGCAGAATGACTTGGTTCATGGATGGGGTCTTGACTTTACCATGAGGAAATGTATTGAGGTCTGTAATGTGGTGATTTCTTTTGAACCTTTCTTTTCTCCATCTCTTCCGTCTGTAATATAGATAGCCATTTGAACCACAGCCTGCTCATGAGAAGATCGGAGTGGTAGATGCTCAATGGATAGTTCATCTAGGCATTCCATCCCTCGGGAACCAGGTAAAATCCCAAAGATACCCTTATCATTTGTGAAGGGAATGTAATTGGTTATTTCTCCCCCTTTTCTTCACTTTGCAGGGAACATCAGAGAAAGGGAGAGCGCCATGGGAAGGGGTAAGAAATGACTCACTCTCCCACCATATTGTCAGGCTCCTTATTGCATATGGATCTGAAGCGTATGAAGAAACATGTTTTTGAGCTGACTTTTCGGTATCCTTATCCCAGGTGAGGAAGAGGTGTCAAATCGAATGGAGGATGTTTTATGAACGCTTTGCACAAGCTCAGAAAGCCTATTACTGGATGCTGAGATTTCGTCGAAGAAGTAATAATGTCACGAATAGCTAGAAGGATATGGAATGATCATTGATTCCCACCCTTTGTGTAAATTCCACTTCCAGAGCTCCTACAAAATGACCACAAGTCCACAATCAATCAGAAGTAGCATTTTAGGTTTTCTGTCCTTTTTATTTTCATTAAGTGTGTTATTGAAGTGAACTTTACTCGAGCTGTAGCTCACAGGTGATTCACAATTTAGACTGCTCACATCATTTTTGGCCAATCATCTTGTACTTCTTAACAGTTAACACAGTTCTTTTTTAAAAAAAGGCTTAAAAGTGCTCATGTCTGCATCTTTTTCATCGAGAAGAATTCTGGAATCGGTTTTTTCTCCCCATTGCTGTTCAGTATGCTTCTTTAGTCCAGGCCGCTCAACGGTCAATAGTGCCTCCAATGGTCCAATAGTTTACTTCAATACCATGCTGCAGGTAATGGCTAAAGTTGAACAGACAATCCAAGTTGAGCAGACAATACTCCGATTCCTAATGCTAATGGCATTGTGCAGACAATTCATGAAATGGGAAATGTATACATATTGCAAATTATGCATACAAATGGACCTATAAATTAAAAAGAGGAAAGAAAATGGTACAAAATTTCAGCTACAATTTACAGATTACAGATCACAAAAATTATCACTCATTCTGGCTGCCTGTGTACTTGGAAAACTTATTCGAGTATAAGAATTCGGAGGATAGTTTGGCAGGTGGCAGTCTTCATGATGTTAATGACTGAGGGCCAGAAGTACTCAAAGGTGCAGTTAGAAATAGGATTTGACGATTGCATCCTCCAGCTCCTTAAATTCCCATGCATCATCTGCTGCATATTCTCCTGCAATCCAAGCAAAGCATAATTACCGGTTGACCTCTCGAAAACTGGTAGAATGCTTCCCCAAAACCATTTTACAAAAGGATATTCTTCTTACCTATTGAATCTCTTCGAAGAGCAGTTAAGTGAGCACAACTGCGAGTTGAAAACCAACAATTTCGTCAGCCAAACCATGGTAAGCAAGAATTATTGACCGCATCAAGAGAAATGAGGAAGTTGCATACCTGCCAAGAGCCTTCCCTAAGTCTGCACATAATGATCGAATGTATGTCCCTTTCGAGCACGTCACCCTGAAAATCAGATTTTGTCTGCAAGAGCCAGACATCACTCGCTCAGTTCAGACTCAAGCCCTAGAAGAATTGCATGGAGAACAGTAATAATACCAGCTGAGGTATTGATTTATTGAAATTGTGAACTTGGCAAAATGAATTGAAGTTAAGATAGCATTGATATTCATTTAAGGTTCCAAGTAAGATTTCAGAAACCTGTCCTCTAGGCTCCTTTCAATGTCAAACTGGAAGATTGAGATTCTTCTTGGTGCAAGCTCGACACTTTCTCCTCTTCTGGCTTTATCATACATCTTTTCCCCTCCTACCTATAAAAAACAACAGAAAACTCTGATTTAGGAGAAACAAGTGAATTCAACATCGTTTTATATTTGAAACATGAGAAAAACAATTGCTGTAGATATTCTTTTCTGTAAGGAACTAAGAGAATTTTTACTTTGATGGCTGAGAACATTGGAGGAACTTGCCATATCTCCCCAACAAACGAAGCAGCAGTTTTCTTAATGTCGTTGTCTTTGATGTGCTCCCAAGGCTCACGCTGAATAACCTTCACAAATCAAATGCATCGAATTTACTTTAAGAATCTATAGATATCATTGAAGGCCTCCTTGATCTACTTCTGACCAAGTGTTACTTATAATTCGACAACAAGCAAATATGAGAATAACAAGAGAACAAGCACCTACGGGAGAATCAGCATCCCAGGTTGAAGTAGCTTCCCCAAGGCGAAAAACTCCACTATAACCCTTGACCATACCTTGGTAGCTGCATGAGAACAAATCCTCCATCTTTGATCACATATTCAAAATATAAAAGCCTATCCTGGCAGGCAGAACGAAGAATTGCCATAGCCGAAGAGTGAGAAGATCTGTGCTTCGGCACCAGTAGTATTACCTATCCACTACTTTAGTCGCTTTGCCAACGCATACAATCAACAAACCAGTTGCCATTGGATCAAGAGTTCCAGCATGCCCAACCTTTTAAGACATATCCGTAAGAAATTCATCAGAGAACAAGATTTACTCAAGAGATGGAACAGAGAAAAAGTAAGCACCTTTTTCACTTTGACCAGTCGACGGAGCTTCCCACATACTGTAAATGAAGTCCACCCTGTTCTCTAGCAAAACAAGATAAATGTAAAAAGAAACTCTAAGTTCATAATCCTATATCATTATCACAGCATAGAGTAGATAATCATCAATCACATATAATTGCCTCTAGAGCTTTTCACATAATCATGCTTCATGCATGTTTCCCTTCCCAATAAATCCTCACACCATAAGGAATTGATTGCTAACACTATTTCACCAACCCTTCATCCACCAGAGAATTCCAGTCTTTCCAGCCTACTCAACATTGCAACACAAGGGATCCCCAAAATCGCAATGTCAAACTAATCTAACTAATCGGATTAAGCACCATTGCACTCCCATGATTCAAACAACCAGCTCAAACAATGAAATCAAATTCCAAACCAATTGCAATGAAATCCAACAACAGATAAGCGAAGTGAGCAAATAGGCTCTCACCTTTCGGCTTGTTAACCAAAACCACAGTGCCATAAGGACCATCCCAGGTGGGAGGAAGCCCATTGCTCCTACTAGCAAGAAACGGCTCTGCTTTCCCAACTTCCCCCTCATTACTCCCAGAACCCTTCTTCAACACCTTGAAGAAATCAGCCACTGTCTTGTGCGTAACATTCTCATTCACCACATCCCCAGCTGAACCACTCCAAAATTCTCCTTTCTTCCCCTCCTCAAAAAACACTAACTTTTCATCTCCTCCTTCACCTGCTCCAATGGCTGCTGACACATCACTCTTTACTCTTCCCTTCTTACTCTTACTGCTTGTTTTCGAGTCCTTGGGATCCATAAAAGCCTTGTCGAGGCACTGATCAGGAAAATACTTCTTCTCCAACTGATAAACCATCTTGTAATGCTTATCCTTCTCCCACGGATAAGCCATCGCGTCGAAGAAGTATAGCTCCTCTTCTCTCTTGTGCAACCGATGAAACTCCACCACCTCGGGCTTCAACTCCACGAAACCTTCCTCATCGGCTTTTCTACTCGCCTCCTCGTCGGAATCCGTGCCGTACATCCTCTTCATCCTCTTACTGTAATACTTCCTCTTCGACTTGTCCATCTCCGACGACAGCTTCTGATCGACCCAGTCGTCGAATCCCGATTCCGGGTCGGGACTCGGAGCGGAGCCTGGGTCGTCTTCGGCGGCGGCTCGAGTGGGATGTTGTACCTGCCGGCGGCGACGTGGGTTCACGGAGGATTGGGTCGGGCGGCTGATGATCATGTCGTATTGGAGAGGGTAAGGGGTTTTGGAGGAGAAGCGGGTTGATAAAACGGGTCGGCTTCTGGTGAAGAAGTTGGGGACTATTGGCGTGTGCGTGAGAGTTGCCATTGTTGAGAAGGGAGGTGGGATTGTGGGTTTTGAGCGGAAGGAGAAGGAAAAGAAGAAGAAGGCTGAGAGGGATTTCGCCATTGATAAGAGCAAAGATTGAAACTTTTTTTGGCTGGAGTTTTGCGCGGAAGAAGAAAGAACAGAGGAGAAACGGGCCTTCTAAAGCGGCCCAATCAAGAAACAGGCCCAGCCCACTTAGCAACAACGTCCTGGAGAAGCTCTACTGCTTCTTCTTCAGCGCTTTCACCAAATTCTCACTTCTTCCATCTGAAATTTAGGAAAGGGCACTAAAATATCCAAACTTTTCCCGCTCGAAGCCATGGATTCCGCGGCAGCGCCTTCGGCTTGGGGACCTGACGTGGAAGGCGGCGAGTGGGAGCTCCGGCATGACGACGACGGCTTCACTTACAAGATCCTGAAGCGCCCGCGGCTGGACGAATTCTCCGCGCCAGAGCCGCCGGCGGTGGATCCGGAGGCCGAAGAGAAACGCAGGAGATCCCGCAAGCAGAAGGTGCTTCTGAAATTGAAGGGCCGGTACCAGGAAGAGATTGATCGGTGGGAGCGTTTGTCGAACAGCTTGCGGGAAATGGAGGAGAGGGTTAGACAAGAGACGGAGTCTCGGAAAGAACAGCAATTGGAAGGGACGAATTTGGAGTCTCAGGCGGTGGGAGGGATGGAAGACTCATGTGCCTCCCTCGTGGATGAACTCCTGGCTAAGGTAATTCGCTGCTTTCCCAATTTCCACTACCCTTGTTTGGCCAGAATTGTATGCCATGAGGGTGAAACTGCTCTGAATTTCTAGAGAAAAGCATCAGCCCTGGTTTTCTAATTGCTGAATGTTGGCTCTTGTACTTAGGAGAAGGTTAGGTTAGAAATATTTTACCCCTGTTTACCTCCAACTCAGTCCTACTATTGGCGTTCACTTGACTTCAATTTGCTCTGGTTCTTTTAACAGTAGGGTTGCCTGTGTGAATAGATTAAGCTCAGGAATGTGTTCTTCTTGCCTAGGAAAGTGGAGACAATTGCAAGAAATGAAGCATTATTTTGATCATTCTCTTATGTTTCCTTGCGAAGTATTACTATTATTCCTTATTTCCAACAAGGTGACTGCGTTTGACTTGTATTTTCATTTTGGTGAATAATTGCAGGCAGATGCAGAAGAGAGACTGATCTTGAGTTTCTCAAACCTATGTGACCAAGAAGAAGCAGCTTGTGATGCTCGTCGGGAACGTTTTGTGGAATCCTTCTTAGAGCTGCCAGTTTGGTCTTCACCTCGAGAGCTAATGGCTTCACTCTGTGATGACTGATGAGTAAGTTCCACTGAAGCTACTTGAGAAAGGAGTGTGGTAGTTAGTTTGCCTCTGCATTAGTAAATTACTGATGTTTAGGTATAGATAGTGAAGTTAGAGCAGCTTTTGGTAGATATCAGTTGTCATCCTTGTTGATCTTGTAAGTATCTCTTTTCATTTGCTTTGAATGTTAGAACTCAGAACATCTGTGAGTGAATGTAATGTGGTGGAAGGAATAGAGATGGAGATATCGTGCTTGGGTGATATACAGTTGTTAGTGTTTGAGTCATAGGCTCATAGCTAACTCCATTTGTAAAATCTGTTGATGAACTCGGAGTAAGCGAAATTGGATAAAAGTGTAACTTTTATTTCCGCAGAATATGTGGATCTAAAGTGTAGTGTGCTTTATTTATAAAAGAAGTAGTCTGCTTTACAATGAGGAAATTGGCAGAAAAAGGAGGCTCTCTTCTTTCTTAATGTCTTGACAAAAGAATTTTGGTGCTAGTGGGGCTTGCATTGCATATCATGTGTGCATCCACAGCAACAACTTTTCTACTTAATCTCGAATGATAAAGCTATAATTTGGAACAAACAGATGGATTATCATATCCAGAGAGAACTAACTACAAAGCTTCTTTTAGCTGCTGCTCTGAGATTTCTGCTAATTCATGAAGCAATCTTGCTATCACCCTCGTGAAAGATTGGACTGAGCAATTTTAACAGGCTCAACAATGAATCCAGCTTTTTGACATTCTTCCTCCAGGAGCTTAACCTGTGATTGGCCGTTTGGGCAAAACACAATCACAGCACCTCCGCTGCCTGTAAATTTGGAGGCGGCTCCCACCTTCCGTGCTGCTTCCACCATTTTTATGTTTAAAGCACCAATCACATCATCGCCAAACATGCTCCTGAACATTTGTTTATTTTTCAATAAGCATTTGACATCAGAAGTTTTGTTCTTCACTGCCAGAAGTTTCAAGCTTTTGCTAGAACAGATTGAGATGACTTTACCTTCGAAGATCGAAGTTACGATTCATGAGCTCTGCAAGTTTCGAGTAGTTCTTTTCCAGGATAGCAGTTTTTCCATGTAATGCAAGATCTGCAACTTCGGCCATTGTTGTTATTATGAACTTGTCTCCATCAAGCCACCTTTGCTTAACCGTGCTATGCACCTGCATTGAAGAATTTGTCTATAAATTGAAAAACCTTACCCTTCTATTCATCTATCAAAAGGTCAGCTGTCATGTTGCTAGCAACCTTAGGCAAAAATCGAGTAACTGCAGTCTACACATCAAAGAAGGAGCAACCATTTCTAGACTAACCTTCCCAGAATCACTCGGGTTCTCGGCATATACAAGGTGAAGAGGTGGGAGGAGGTTAATATCCATGGGGGTATAGATCCCATGTCCCAACTTATCCATGTGCTCCTGTGAAAATTCCTGGGCAACCAACAATGCAGACTGTTAGAACCATGTTAACAGTCGGCAAACATTTCGATTCATTATCTGCAACAGGCATCACCCTACCATGTAAACGAGGCCGCCATAGATCTGGGCCACTCGATCTTGAAGGCCAGCCACGATCCCCAGCTCTTTCTCGGCGCTTAACACGAGATTCGGCCTGATTTCAACCTTGATCTGGTCCCTGACTTTGTAGAAGTCCAGCAAGCAGTTCAGTGCTGCAGATACTATAGCACTTGATCCAGATAGTCCTGCCTGAAGAAAAAAAATGTCAACTAAGCTTAAACCAATAAACTGGCTAATCATCATTATCATCTTAGTTTCAGATATGATTAAATAGTGGAACAATTGCTTGTTTGTCTATAACACGTGCAACGGACACAACGAACCATTATTTTTATCAGAAGAATAGGAGCTAAATTGTTCTGTTCCTTCTGTGGATGAATAAAGAATGACTGATATGGAAACCCAAGAACAACTTGGGGGGAGAGAGTGAGAGTAAGTTATATTATTAACCTGACGAGGAATGTTGGTGTCATAAGAAAGAGCAAACTTGCGCTGATGAAGGGAGATCTTATGCTCCCTGCAGTAATTGTAGAAAACTTTACATATCGCCATTAGCAACCTGACTCCTCCATAATAACCTTCACTCTGCAGCCGATTCACCTGGCAGTCAAATTAAAAATTTCAAAAATTTAACCTTTTACCAAGATTGAGATAAATGCCAAGAAGAAGAACCCATGCATCAAATCTGCATAAAGATGCAAACTTGAGAGCGACCCACTACTCCAAAACAACCTAGGAACACCTGACAGATCCACATAGATTCCCCACCCCAGATCTTTTGTTTCTGATTCTCTGTTCCCAGATTATGATAAAATATTAATTAAGAGAATAGACCCATTAGTCCCCCTAAATTATGAAAAGAAACGGAACCTGAAAGAAACAAAAACAAGAAAACAGAATCTGGTAAAAAGGGGATGGGTTATATGGATAGGAGACGGACCAGGTGATCAAGGGAGGAGAAATTGACGAGATCATGCTTGGGGTGGGGAGTGATGACGAGTTCGTCGGAAGGCCGAAGAACGACGGTGGCCCAGAAATTGGAAAGGCTGAAAGAGATGGTCCTCCCGAAATAGACGTCACTCGGATTACCCAATAGGCCGACCCGCGCATAGGATCTGTGCTCAATCACCCCTTCCGCCATTTCACTGTTCTCTGAGGAATCAAAACGGAACCCCAATTTCGCGAAACCGGGAGAGAAACAAACGAACAAAAATTTGGTGGTGGGTAAGGACGACGAAGGAGGGAGGGAAAAGAGAGGGAGGTAATAAAGGGTGCAAAGAAAAAGAGAGACGCGTCTCTGGTTATGAAACTTCGTTGGATTTTCTTATAGAGGCAGGGGAAAGCCAAGAGGGCAGAGTCCAGCTGTTAAGATCTTCTTCTATCTATTGCTCTGTTTTTTTCTCCTTTTTCATGGTTTTTGTTTGGGCGTTGTTATCAGGTGGTGAGTCAGCATCCAATCACGAATTTATTAATTTCAAATTTTGTAAGCGATTGAATGCTAATCCAAATATTAGTGTGATGATCCATTGGTCATTGCCCAATCTAGGAGAAGGGGGAAAGGGGGCAAAAGCCGTTTTGGGTTCTTTCTGATCCTTTCTTTGTGAGTTTGGTCGGTTTCGATTTCTTTAAAGGGGCTGGCTTTTAATTCTACAGGCCGATTGAGGAGGCGATCAGATGAGAGAGGTGGGATGAATGAGGGAGAGAAGTTGTTACGAAGTGAAGGAGATGATTCGGTGGTTTGCTCTCCCGCGCTGGACTGTTGTTCCCGCTTTCCCGCCCTGTATTCTGCTGACGTCTGTACAACAGCTTTCCTCTATTTGGGTCAATTGGTCACCTAATTTTTGGGACTTTGAGAAGTCCGTCACTGAACTTTGATTTATTAACAAATTTGTGTAAAGAGCGATGAATGACTAACCTAATAAGCCACTTCATCCATTTTTCATCAGGTTTGTCGGAGCCGATCGAATCAATGAACTCGCTCATTCAATAGAACCTTCTTATAGACACTATTGTCTAACACAGAGAGGGGGCGAAGAGAGGGCGAACATATTAGAGTTGTTTCTAATAAGTTGTTTGGATGTGAGCATATGTACTATTTATTTAGAAAAACACATGTAGTGGATTGTCCATAAATAATATGTGAACGTTATGTGAACAGATTGAACTCATCTCTCGCATCTTTTGATCAAACGGGACTCATAATAATGTTTGATTGAATAGTTGCAGGTATCAGATTGTGAATACAGAGATCCTAGTTTCAAAAGCTCGTAGCACTCAACCCTCCTACTCTACCATCCTCCCCTTGTTGTTACGAACCCATCAAAAAGATAATTTGCATCAAACTTGAGTGTCAAAAGACAAGTTTGCCTTGGGTCAATTATAATGCATACCGAAGTGGTTTGGTTACGAGATCCAAGTCCATTACAATGCATATTGAATAGTTGCGTATTGAAATGGTTTGTTCAGATCGTTTAATCAGAGTCTATCTATCAAGGTACTTTTAGAAAGGGGAAAAAGCAGAATGATTACAATGCTTGTTATTTCAAACTAGAATGTCAATGTTTTGTTACGAAATCCAAGTTGAGTGACCATTTTTGCAAATGGTCGCTTAGTTAGATTTTCGCTTTCACATAATGATTTGTTATTGGAGACATTGGCATGACGCCGCTTCTTCGCCGCCCAGTTGCATTCTCCCCCACTTCCCGCCTCCCTTTTGCTTCTTTTTTGTCTGTTTGCCCTTTTCTTAGCTCTGAAATTGGAGATGTAAATGTACCCTAGGTTAGGGGTGGGCAATGGGAAACAGGTATTTGGGTATACCCATACCCGTCCCGTTTTTTAAGGGTTACGGGTACCCATATTACCCGTAATATTATAAACGGATGGGACTTGGGATTGAACATTCCTAATATGGGTACCCGCGGGTTACCCGCGAATACCCGTTTGGGTAATATGGGTACCCGTTATACCCATTCAATACAAATGCAGAAATTTAATTAAGCCCAACCCAATTCAAAACCCATTGGCCAATTCGGCTCTTACCCTTTCAATTTCAATTCCATTTGGGCCCTTACCCTTTCACTTTTTCACTGACATGTTTGGTGAATTAGTAGAAAGAGTTGGGATGTGTCGAATGAAACTTTTTTTTTTAATAATTTGGTACTTGGAATGATTTATTTCTATGTGTTGTGATTGTTCATGAATGTGTAATTTGCAAACCAAGTATTTGTGATTGAGATGTATTTTGTGTCTTGTGATTGTTAAGCAAATACAAAGTTAAGTTTAAACTTTTGTTAAAATTTTAGTGGTTTAAACTTTGGGTATTTATGGGTAGTATGGGTACCCGTTATACGTCCCGTACGGGTAATGGGTACCCGTTTCCCATATGGGTTTGGGATATGGGATGGACTTTGATCTCCAAATGGGACTGGGTACCCGTTTAAAACGGGACGGGTATCCCATCCCGTCCCGTTGCCCACCCCTACCCTAGGTTAGGTAGGTGGTTGCATGCCATCATATGATATTATTAATGACAACTTCACGTCACCAACACCAATCTAGCTAGACGGCACTAATAACTTTACTTACGCTGCATGTCTCAGTCTCACGTCCCCATCAGACTTGGCAACTAGCAAGTTGCCGTTGTTGTACTTCCCCACCGTTAACTAGCTTACATTTAATCTCTCAACGATGACGGGATCCAAAGCAGACCTCCGAGAGACTCTCCTTTTCGAACACCCTGAGAAGTTCATGAAAGCAGAAGATTCGGACATACAGTCCTGTCAGATTCAGTAGCCTACACTTGTTTATTATGACACTTCATCTATCAAGGATACCAACATCA